AGATATCAGACTTTTAACTATAATGTTGCAAATATTCTCTCCCACGCTGTCATTTGTATTTAGACTTTATTGCTGTACTGCACTTAAAATATTTTGTGTAGTGTAATTTCACTGCTGAGTTTTGTGTCCTGCTTAGGAAGGCCACCTCCACTCAAGATTATTTTAAAAACCATAAATTTTCTTTTAGTTAGGTTTTATATCTGTTTATTTCTGTAATCCATCTGGATTTGAATTTAGTGTGAGGTATCCATATCAACATTTAATGCAGATAGAATGTTTCCACATCTTCCAGCTTTTTCTTTTTAAAAAACTTGATTGAATTTCATCTACCTGTGGCTACTAGACTTTTCTACCCATCATCAGACTTTAGAAATTTCTGCTTGGATTTTTCCACGTCACCTTCTTTCTGTCAACTCAGTGTTGCCTGCATGGATTCAGCCTCACCGTTACTCCTAAACTAGTTATTCCAAGGGCATCCATGGCCTTTGTACTGAGCCCAGTGGACTGAATTTAGATCACCTGTTTCCTGAGCAGTGTGTATTTGTCATTGGTGGGTACATTCTCCTTGAAGTGCATTGCCTTTGGCTTCTTTGTTATAATTTTCCTCAGATTTTCTTCTTACATCCCTGGCTTACCCTTCTCAGTCACTTGTACAGCCTCCTATTTTATCCCCCAAATGTTGGTATTTTCTAGAATTCATTCAGTTATGTCCTCTGCAGTTTATACTTGACGATTATCCTTGTGTGATGCCATCAATCTTATGACGTCAGTTATGAAGCATATTTGGATAAGCCCAAAGTCTCTAGCTCAAATATTTCTTTTTAAAACAATGTAATTATGTTCCATAGGCTCTTAAAACTAAATCTATCACCATTCCTTCCCCTGACCCCTCAAACCAGTACCTCCTCTTATATTTCTCATTTTAGTGCATGAACTGATTCCCACCCCTGCGCAGAAACCTGTGTGTCATTTTTAAAAATAAAGGTAAAATTCACATACAGTCAGCCATGTTAAAGCGTACCATTCAGTGCTATTTGGTATATTCACAATATTGTGCAACCACCAGCTCTCTGTAGTTTCATAACTTTTTCATTACCCCATTAACCACTCCCAAAACCCATTAAGTAATCATGCCTCATTTCTCCCTCCCCCCCATCCATTGGTAACCTCTAATTTACTTTCTGTCTCTCTGGATATATCATATAAAAGAAGTCATGTGTGACCTTATGTGTCTAGCTTCCTTAATTTAGTCTGATATTTTCAAGGCTCATCCAGTTGTAGCATGCATTAGTACTTCATTTCTTTTTATAGCCAAATAATATTCCATTATATGTATATACTGCAATTTGTCTATGTCTATTCATTTGTTAATGAACATTTGAGTTCTTTCTACCTTTTGGCTTTTATGACTAATGCTGCTGCAAACATTTATGTACAACTTTCTGTGTGGATGGATGATATCATTTCTCTTGGGTAGGAGTGGAATTGTTGAGTCTTTTGGTAACTTTGCATTCAAGTTTTTGAAGAATTGTATGTCATTTTTGACTTACTACTTTAACCCTTACACAACATTTGATTGATTAGATTCTATCTCCCAAATACCCGTGTTTCTATGTATTGTTTCTACTACCAAATACTTGAGGTATGCTTTTCAGGATTACTGTAATAGCTTTCTTTTGGGTTTCTTTGTCCTTACCAAAGCCTTATTTATGTAATCTTCCACATACTGTAAGATTGGTTTTCCACAAATGTAAATCTCATGAGGTCACCCTATTGTTTTTGAAAAAAAAAAAAAAAAAAGGGAACAGCCCTTCAAAGGCTTACCACTGCTCTCTGGATAAAGTCCAGACTAACTTGGCTTACAGAGGCCCATTGCTGTCTAGCTTCTGACATTCTGTCTAATTTCACTGCCCCCCACCCTCTGTTCTAGTCATATACTGATCTCCATATTTCAAGATTTTGACCTGGTCCTCTGTCTAAACCTTAGTCCCCCTACCCAAATTCTTTGTCTTTTTAAAAAATATATTTTAAATTTTAGTTTTGTTGACACATAATAGATGTACTTCCATTTTCTGCAGGTAAATAAAGAAAAAAAAATAGATGTACATATTTGTGGGGCTACATGTGATCATTTAATAGATTCATAACACTTTGTAAAGATCAAATCAGTGTAATTGGGATATCTGTTCTCTTAAATGTTTATTTTTATGTTAGGAACATTCAAATTCTTTTCTAGTTATTTTGAAATTTACAATATATTGTTATAAACTACAGTCACCCCACTGATCTAGCAAATACTGGGTCTTGTCTGTCAAACTGTTTATTTGTATTCATTAACCAACCCCTCTTCAATCACCCCCCCCCCAATTCTTTGTCTTATTTCTTTTCTTTTTGGAGCCTTTGCTGAGTTTTCATGATTATGCTATGTGTCCTTTTGTGTTCCCCCAGATTGCTGTGCTATTGGAGCATTTACTGTACATTCTTTTATTACCTTTATATTCCTCTGGGTATCAGGAACTAATGATAGTCAAGTGCCAGATGAGGCAGGACAGACAAAAGTATAATTAATAGGAATTTAGCAAAATCAAAAGAAGATTATTTGATAAATTATTTAGGAAGACCACATGCAAGGAGATAATACTTGAACTGGACCTTGAAGGAAACAACATGAGGTATGGTAATGTCTGCCACTATAGTTCGATTAAACCTGTTAGGTATTAACACATCTAGTCCTAAAAGAATCCACAATAGGGGCAAAACCTGTAACAAAAGTGAGATGTGGGACATTCGTCAACAATGCTTTTGCATCACTTATGTGGAATAAGCAAAGGACATAATTATGACTGTAGAGGAAGATCATCGAAAGAATGTATAAAAAGTTTTAAGAACTTAAGTTGTCTGGACAAAAGTGAGAAGTAATGATAACTTTTTGAAAAGTGTAAGGAAATTTTCAGTGGTAATTTTGACCATATATACTGATTTCAAAGCTTACCCATCTATGGTCATAAAGCTCCACAGGACCTATGATGGAAAATGCAACAGCTAGATGATTTCTGGATAAATTATAAGATAGAATCTTTCACAAGACTCTTTTGTACAGTGTTGGAGAAAATGACCTGAGTAATACAGTAGTATTTATCTAGAAAAGGTTGGAAGTGAGGTAACTCATGTAGAAAATAACTGCCACACTGCATTTGTATGTCTGCAACATAGTCGACACTCCTACATGCATGAACAAATAACAAAATAAAAATGGAATTCCTTTTTTGTTTTAATATCATTTATTTTTAATTTTTTTCTCTCCACTTCCTCCCCTTTAATATCTTTTTAATGTATTTTAGAATAGTTAAAAATAGGATGGGCATGGCAGCTCATGCCTGTGATCTCAGCACTTTGGGAGCATTGCTTGAGGCCAGGAGTTCAAGACTAGCCTGGGCAACACTTAGCAAAACTCCGTCTCTACAAAAAATAAAATAAAATAATAAAAAAATAAAAATTAGCTGGGTGTGCCCGTAGTTCTAGCTGCTTGGGAGACTGAGCTGGCAGACTCGCTTAAGCCCAGGAGTTTGAGGTTACAGTGAGCTATGATCATGCCACTGCACTCCAGCCTAGGCCACAGAGTGAGATACTGTCTCTTAAAGAAAAAGTAAAAATACATTTCTTGTGTTTTGAAATACACTACCGCTGATTTTATTAATAATTACTTATAAAAGTCTATTTTGCCTGGTAGGCAAAAATATTAGACTTATAAAAATCTCCCCTCAAATTTTTTTTTTTTTAAGACAATGTAACAGTGCCTATCCCCTCAAATTTTGAGGAAAGTTTTTATGTTTATATATAAACGTTTACTATCTGCTTTCTGCATGTTTATTGGTATGTTGGGATGTTAACTCTTACTTGTTGAAATGATACCATCTCTGATCCTTCAACAAAATTTAATCTTCTCAATTACCAACATACTTCGCTCAGTCTTTTATAGCACTCTGAGTTATATTATTCTTACTTTCATCATTAGATGGAGCTTCTTGCGGATAATGGCAGGTATTATATGAGAATTGCGTACCTGTTTAGATTCTCACCAAGTCCTTTCAGAAACATTTTCTTCTTGCATGTCCTTTGTCCCCACTTCTCTATTTGAGCTAATCAGTGCTCAGCTCCTGGCAGGTTAAACATTTGATAACTTTATTAAGCCCTATATCTCTGGAAACTTTGGGCTCTGCACCCCTCCTTACCTACTCCCTAAGATCTCCTCTTGGCCTGTGTGGCCCCCACCTTACTAGTTCCTTGCCTCTGTTCTTGCCCCCCATCCTGGTCTTCCTTTCTCCATACCAGAGCACTTTCTTTATAAGAGATGAACCTCATGATACCACAGACATTCCTTGTAGGCTCTAGCTTGTTTTCTTTAGCTACTCCTCTGTGCTGGAAGCCATGGCCGGCAGAGGGGTCAGTACACACAGACAGGACAGATGGGGCTCCTGCTGTCCTTGTGCTCAGAGTGTGATGGATCATATAAGAACAACAGCTGTAGACTGTCCCCATCCTGTGACTATAGGGAACATGTAAAATAGATATACAGATGTCAATATAAATGAAAGTTAGTTATGCTCAGTAAACTCCAATGAAAAGTTACTGTTTCTGAAAGTATACCCTAAAGACCACAGCATAAGAATTAACTTTCTTGATTTGATTTCTAGTTCTTTTTGAACCAGAATCTCTGGGTTATGGGCCTGGATATCTGCATTTTAACAAGCTCTCTTGAAAGACCTCTGTAGGGCTGTCTAGAATGGTAAGATCCTGGCTTACCAGGGTGTAAGTACCATATGGCTTCCTTATACTACAGAAATGGAAATGTTTTGGCCATCAGGTAGCATTTTGCCTGGAAAGGTATATCCATATAATGGTTTAGACTTTATGACAGAATGTGCTCAAGTTCTATAATGTATCTAGTGGGTGAAAATTATGTGCTTAAAAGTACTGATCAAACTATTCTTTTTCTACAGAACTCAACAAAAATCCAGTGGAAGGCTTTTCGGCAGGTTTAATAGATGACAATGATCTCTACCGATGGGAAGTCCTTATTATTGGTCCCCCAGATACACTTTAGTAAGTATAATGGAACTGACATCTTCACAGTGGAGCTCTTTTAATTAATTGGAATTAAAACGTTTTTGGCAAATAGAAATGATATTACTTTTTAAGGAGCATGTGAAATACCAATGTTTAGCATCATTTATACAGAATTTGATCATTTTTAAGGTTTTTGTGTTCTGCTTGAAGTTGCTTTTTAAAATATACTATAGTTTCAGAAATTCAGATATTTTCTATACCTAGAATAAGTTTATTATAGAAAAGCTATCTTTATGGTGAGGTTAAATATAAATAATATATTTTTAACTTGTATTCCAGAAATTAGGAGATTAATTTTGGCAAGATTGGGGAAAGAAGAAAAACTTGTATTAAAATGTTTTTCTTGGCCGGGTGCGGTGGCTCATGCCTGTAATCCTAGCTTTCTGGGAGGCCGAGGCGGGTGGATCATTTGAGCTCAGGAGTTTGAAACCAACCTGAGCAAGAGTGAGACCCCGTCTCTACTATAAATAGAAAGAAATTAATTGGTCAAATAATATATATAGATAAAATTAGCCGGGCATAGTGGCGCATGCCTGTAGTCCCAGCTACTCGGGAGGCTGAGGCAGGAGGATTGCTTGAGCCCAGGAGTTTGAGGTTGCTGTGAGCTAGACTGACGCCACGGCACTCACTCTAGCCTGGGCAACAAAGTGAGAGTCTGTCTCAGAAAAAAAAAAAAAAAAGTTTTTCTTTCCTTCTCTTGTGTGTACTGTGCCTTGATCCCCAAAGGGAATGTCGTAATTTTTAGGAGCAGAGTTTACCATTCCTTGATCAATTTACTAAAGTATAGGATTACATTTTTCTAGGACATTGTCATAGAGAACATATTGTACATGTCAGTGTCTTAAGACTAGAGAGAACTTTTAAGATCCTCTACCTTAGTGGTTCTGTCATTGGGTCTCTGCAGAATATTGATCAGAAGTAAGGTGTTCTGACCCTAAAATGAACTAATTGTCACTTTGTCCTAATTTATAAAAATTATTCTTAGGGTATCAAATAATGTATTAACTGACTATAAGAGAACAAGGTAATGGTATCAGACAGCAATAGAATTTCTTTAATATTTCATGTAATACATTTCTAGATTCAGAGGCCACAGTCTTATTTTCTGCTCTGTTTGCAGACTAACTTAAATTTACTAGTATTTATTGATTTTTAAGATGCATCAAGACTTCTGATATTGGTGCCTGGTGCAAGTTTCCATGCTTTTTATGAGGTAGTAGGGAAAAAAATGAAGCGAGCTTCTCAAAGCCAGACAACTGAGTGACACCGACAGATCTAGATCTGAGTTTCTTCAGTACTATATTTCCTCACTCAGTCTTTTTTTTTTTTTTTTTTTTTTTTTTTGGACAGAGTCTTGCTTTGTTGCCCAGGCTAGAGTGAGTGCCGTGGCGTCAGCCTAGCTCACAGCAACCTCACACTCCTGGGCTCAAGCAATCCTCCTGCCTCAGCCTCCCGAGTAGCTGGGACTACAGGCATGCGCCACCATGCCCGGCTAGTTTTTTCTATATATATTAGTTGGCCAATTAATTTCTTTCTATTTATAGTAGAGACGGGGTCCTCCTCTTCGCTCAGGCTGGTTTCGAACTCCTGACCTCGAGCAATCCGCCCACCTCGGCCTCCCAGAGAGCTAGGATTACAGGCGTGAGCCACCGCGCCCGGCCCCTCACTCAGTCTTGATCCTCGATGGTACTACGTGAGCAAGGATTTGGATGCGTCAGAGGGTTTTTTTTTTGTGATGGGCAAGTAGTTTTTTTAATAGTAGCTCTTTTCTCCCTCAAAACAGCTGATGGAAAAGAAAATTCAGAGCTACTTCTATACCAGGGCACATGGAGGCATACAGAATTGATCCATAGTATGGATGTTCGTATTTTTTATAGTCTGAAAAAAGGATTTATGCTGTGTCATAACTGTTGCCAATCAGAATTTTTGCTTATGTATTTCCTAGAAGTATGTTTGCATTGTTAAGTTTTGCAAACTGAGATAACTGAATTTGGTCATTCCAAATGACCAAAATTTTGTCTATGAGCCTAAAGATTTTCAGGTCTATTTCAGTTTTTTCAACAATACCTTCTTAGGAGAGACACGGTGACATTCCAGTGACAGAATCTAGCTATCCTTATAGTAGGTACAAGATGACAAGAAAAATTCTCCTAAACCAATATCTATATGGAACGTTAGTTAGGAATCCAGCCTCGAACTCCAACTCTACAGGCCTCATTGAATTTTTATACTTTTTTCATGCAGTTGTGGTATGTATCTTTAAATATTATTAGCTGGTCCATATATACAGTTGTGCACTCTATAACAATGTTTTGGTCAATAACAGGCCACATATATACTAGTTGTCCTATAAGATTATAATGGAACTGAAAAATTCCTATCACCAAAATGACATGGTAGCTGTTGTAATATTGTAGCACAGTGCATATATTTGATTGATACTTGTATAAACAAACCTATGCTGCCAGTTCTGTGAAAGTACCGTACATACAATCATATATAGCACTTGATAATGATAAACAATCTTTACTGGTTTATGTATTTACTATACTTTTTATTATTATTTTATAGTACACTCCTTTCTACATGTGTGTTTTCTGTGTGTGTGTGTGTTAGCTGTAAAACAGCTTCAGGAGGTATCCAGAAGAAGGCATTATTGTCATAGGAGATGACACCTTCATGTGTGTTATTGCCTCTGAAGACCTGACAGAGGAACAAGATGTGGAAGTGGAAGATAGTGTTATTGATGATCCTGGCTCCATGTAGGCCTAGACATATGTATGTGTCTATATCTTAGTTTTTGAGAAACAACTTAAAAAAGTATAAAAATGGAAAAAAGCTTATAGTACAAGGATATAAAGAAAGAAAATATTTTGTGCAGCTGTAAAATGTGTTTGTATTTTAAGCTAAGTGTTGTTACAAAAAGGCCAAAAAGTTAAAAACAATTAAAACTTTGTAAAGTAAAAAATTTACAGTAAGCTAAGGTTAATTTGAAGAAAGAAAAAAGTTTTTAAAAATGAATTTAACACAATGTGGACAGTGTTAAATAGTGTATAGTAATGTCCTGGGGCTTCACATTCAGTCATCACTCGGGCTGACTCACCCAGAGCAACTTCCAGTCCTGCAAGCTCCATTCATAGTAGCTACCCTATACAGGGGTACCATTTTGTAATGTTTTATGCAGTATTTTACTGTACCATTTTTATGTTGATGTACACATATCCTTACTGCTGTGTTACAGTTGCCTGCAGTAACATGCTCTATCAGGTTGTAGCCTAGGAGCAATAAGCTGTACCATCTAGGTGTGTGATATGTAGGCTATACCTTCTAGCTTTGTGTAAGTACATTCCATGATTGTTGCAGAAGGATAAAATTGCCCGATGATGCATTCTCAGAATGTATCCCTATTATTAAGTGATGCATGACTATATTTTGTATACTTCCAGCTTCACCAAAGAAAATCACTTTCAATACTTAGTGTTGTAATTAACAGGCTATTCTATTCACTAGTAAAATCCCATTTCTGGGCTTTAGCATACATTTTTAAAAGTGTAGGCTATTGATTTGAGATATGAATAGCAGCAGCATTTGTGGCAGCTCCTCTGGAGCATGTACTTGCTGATGAGACAACTGGTGGCCACTTTCTCAACTGTGCCTTCCTAAAGTCAGCAGCCTTTGCCCAGGGAATAGAGAAAAGTGCATGTGCCTAGTGCAGAACCCTGAGAAAGACAAAGGAGAGAAGCTAGGAAGGTACAAGGAAAATGAGATGAGGAAAGGTTTTATGGAAGTAAGCCTTTTAAAATGCTATCAAAAATCAAGTGCTTAATAGAATGCTTAAGAAGGATTTGTGACCGGCATGTGGCTCATGCCTGTAATCCTAGCATTCAGGGAGGCCAAGGCAGGAGGATTACTTGAGCTCAGGAGTTCAAGACCAGTCTAATCAAGAGTGAGACCCTGCCTCTTCTAAATATAGAAAAATTAGCCTGGCATGGTGGTACAGGCCTGTCACTTGTAGTCTCAGCTACTCTGTAGTCCAAGCTACTCAGGAGGCTGAGGCAGGTGGAGTTTGAGGTTACAGTGAGCTATGGTGATGCCACTGCACCCTACCCAGGGTGACAAAGCAAGACTCTGTCAAAAAAAAAGAAAAAAATTATTTGTTGACTTAACAGTAAGGAAGTCAGTGATGTCCATATAGTTATTTTAGTGGAGTGAAGAAAGGAGAGGCCATTTCGGAGTTAGGAGAGTGCTGTTGGGAATGAATAGCTAGACCTTAAGTATAAATACCTACCTGTGAAAGGAAGCAGAGGCTTACAGTAGGCGAAGGGAGATTACAGGGTTGAAAATAAGTTAGTATAGTCTTAGCATACAAACCTAAGTGATTAATTCACCATTTCACTAACTAGATCATGGAAATAATGCTGTGTCAAAATTCTATAAAAAGTTGGTGTGAGATTTCATGGTGGCATCATTAGCCTTCATTTAGTCACTAGAGGGCACTCTGAACTCTTCACAATCTATGTAATCAATAACTGGTATATTCAAGTGTTACTTCGAGATTGATATTTGCCACAAGATTTGATTTAGTCATTATACTTTTTTTTTTGAAACAGAGTCTCTATTGCCCGGGCTAGAGTGCCTTGGCATCAGCCTAGCTCACAGCAACCTCAAACTCCTGGGCTCAAGTAATCTTTCTGCCTCAGCCTCCTGAGTATCTGGGACTACAGGCATGCACCACCATGTCCAGCTAATTTTTTCTATATATTTTTAGTTGGCCAATTTCTTTCTGTTTTTAGTAGAGACCGAGGTCTTACTCTTGTTCAGGCTGGTTTTGAACTCCTGACCTTGAGCGATCCTCCCACCTCGCCCTCCCAGAGTGCTAGGATTACAGGCGTGAGCCACCGTGCCCGGCCTATACTTATTCTTGTAGAGTATTACATTTGTATTACCATTCTGTCCGCTAATGAATCTTTCTAGTA